CCTATTGAGAGAATGTGGTAGGGATAATTCTCAGCGACAACCATACTAAATTTTAGCTCCATATTTGTAAAGTTGACTTACAGCTAGGCCTGTCGCAATAAACAATAAATCAATTAATTGCATGATAAATTACAATTATCGACCTCATTTTCATTTATCGGTTTTATCGTTTCTTCGCATCTCTTTCTTTCTACTGAAGACACTGGACGACAAAAGACTCAACTCTGGTGCTCTACACTGACCCCACCCTTTCTCTTTAAAATCTGTTTTAACCGTTCAAAATCATGTTTTTGGATCGTTAAAAGCAGCTAAGCTGAGAAGCTAAGCTACGAGTTAAGCTGAAAGGCCGACCTCAGAAAAAAAACTCCGTCTTGTCGAAGTTCCAAAATTCACGGATGAAACTCGTGCCTTCGTGTAAAAAGTTGTTTTTCTCTGCAAAAAGAAGCTGAGAAATGGTTTAATGATGTTTTATTAAAAGCTTTGTGTGAAAAATGTTATGCTAAAGAGCTCAAACCACACAGAGCGTCTGCCATTTTGAGAACCAAAGAGAGACAGCCCATGTCAAGTCAAGGGGCCTCCCTCCCATTTTTCTTAGAGACACGCTGCTCACTCCCTCACTATCCATCCTTCAGTTCAAAGTCTTACACTGCCATCCAGTGGTCAAAAAAAGTACTACACACAAAAATGAACCAACATTTATTCTTAAATTTGACAATTACTAATTATTGTCAAATTTCAAACAATTTTATCGTTTATCGCAATAATTTCTGAGACAATTAATCGCACAGCAAAATTTGTTATCATGACAGGCCTACTTACAGCCATTTCTGTGTTAAGGACAATCAGCTACGGTGGCCATCTTGAATTGGGTCGACTTCAAAAGTTAATCATGACTTTTCAAGAGTTTAATAAAATCTGTTCATTGGTTTGTGAAATATTTTGCTGACCGACAAACACACACACAAACGCAAATACATGATCACCCGGCTTTCATAGCTGTGGGCGATTAGATAAATAAAGAAATTAGGAATTATGTAAGGTTTGCAAGCAAAATATTATTAATATTCCCTGAAGAACATTTCTAAAAAAGAAAGAAAATTCAAAATGACCCCACCAAACACAAACACCTTACATTTATCAACTATCAGTTTATGATACTTGGTTAAACATTAAAACCTCAGGGAAAAAGTCTATACGATAAGAAAGAGCAGTCCAGGACAAAGAACATCAATCATCTTAGAAAGCAGCTGTTTTAAAAATGTTTAGGATTTGCTGTCACGTTCTCATAAATATTTAAAGCTCATTCTTAACCACTGGTATTGTTTCATGTTGAACCTACTTGTAAAGTTTTTTCCAGAGAAAACCAGGAACTTTGAAACCTTCGTCAAACTCAGCATCGCTGTCATCTGTGAGCTCCTCACCGTTTTCTCTCTTCTCCTCTCGTTCTCGAAGTCGCTGCCGCTTCCATCTCCTAGAAGGGCATTGAAGAAATTATTATGGTATGCATGCATACTTAACATAAGCATAGTCTTCCTGTTATACAAACAAAATATTAAGAACATTAAGATTAGCAAAAAACAAACAAAAATGTGCCTCTTAAAAAATAATCAAGGCTATCAATTAAACAGGTGTAAGGACTGCAAATGTTTTCATGTTGTGACCATTTCCCCTGAGCAGGGGAGCATTTACAACATATATGGTAAATGTAAAGAGAATAGTTTTAATAGTGTAGCAGAGAGGCCAGTTAGAGGCACAGTCGTCATGCACCAAATGAAGATTGATACAGACAATTAGTAGTGCAAGTTCCCCAGAAAGGTGTGAGGTGCAAAAGATAAGAATCCATCTTCATTTGGGCCTGGTCCTGTCACCCTGCCACAAAACTGGTCCTTTAGCTGGGCCTGGGAGACCAGACTCTCTAATTAAGTCAAGACTAAGCATTGGTTCAGTTAATTACACTTTTCTGCCCCCACTCCACCCTCCAACCCAACCAGAAAAGCAGCCTGCTCTAATAATATCATTCTTCACACAAGCCATCCTCACCATTCACGCCATGTCTGTGCATTTGAATTGACATTCAGTCACTGTCGTGTAGAAAAAAAAAAAAAAAGGACACATGCCAACACAATTTATTTGGCTGCTATAAATATTAAATCTCATTAGGGCTGCTCTTCCATTAATTTGAGCATTAGAGTGAATGAGCGTATAAAACCATGTGCAGGAGGATAATTAGGCCAGTGCGAGAGCAGAAAGAGAAGAAGAACAGGGAGTGAATTTGCTTAGTCAAGAAGCAGCTGCCAATCTCATCTGGGATTAACTCTCTTCCTGCACTATGGAGCCAGCAAAACTGCTTTTCACCTTAAGTAAAGCAAGGAACAATAGCCTATTTTCCTTCGCTGCTATTACTAATGCGATGCAAAATAAGTTGCAGTCTGGTGTTAGTTAAACATTTATAGATGTGGGTTTGTGCACAAGAGCTGCTGATGAAAACTTTTTGCACTGTTGTGCTCAAGTGTAATTTTGACTAGTTTATGGCTCACACATCAACAATACAAAACTTTACCTTATTCGCTGCCTGTAGTACTCCACATCTCCATCGTCTTTGTATTTTTTGGCTTTTCTCCCCTCTTCCTCTTCACCTGAACTACCAGGACAGTATTCGTCCTCACTCTCTTTTCTTTTTACTTTCTTCCTCCCCTCGTTTTTTTTCTTGTATGGTTTTAGCTCATATTCTTCCTCATCGTCCTCTCCAAAACCTTCTTCCATGGCATCTCTCTCCTCCTGCTCAAAATCTAGCCCTTCATCACTGGGCAGGTACTCTGAGCCCTCGCTGTCAGTTTCCTCTCCCTCAGTGTGTCGCCTCCTCCTTGGTTTATGGAGCTGTGGCTCAGTCTTGGGTCGAGCCTTAGGATGGGCCTTCAGAGCAGTTATTTGCAGCTTTTTCATGCGCTTCTTTAGTTTTCTATCCTTGGATGAGGCAGTTTTGTTCTTTCTTCCCTTTGTCTTCTCACTGGGGTTCAGTGCAGAGCTTTTCTTCTTCTTTAGAAGAGGTAATTTCTTTCTTTCAGTGGCTAACTTGGCCTGGTCCGCCAAGTACTGATCAAAGGCGGAGTCCTCAGCCAGCATCAGTTTTCGAGGCTCCTTCTTTGTCTCTTTCTGTTGTACTCGAGTTCCAAAAGGAGTCATGTGGCCTTTCCGGATCAGCTCCTCCCATTCCGTCTCCTGGGCTGGCATGAGCATGCTGCCCAGCGTGGACGGTCCTGGTTCTGGGACAGCAAACACAAATGCAGAGTTACAATATGCTGTTCAAGAACTAACACATTAAATCTGTCTTTTTTGCGTGTGTATCTATTTGTTTGTTTGCACCAATTAGGAACGAGATGTCTTTGTCTACAGACAAAAGTTTACCATGTAGGCATAAAAAATAAATAAAAATCAAGACGCTACCAGCCACATGGACTCTAGAAAATTGATGGTTTTGTTTAGACAAAAAGGAATGACAGGCTAAAAATAAAAACATTTCACCTTCCTCTCCATCATCTTCAGCCAACAGTTCAGCTTCCACTCTTTGAACATCCTCTCCTCCCAAAATGGCCTGCAATCGCTTCTGTTTCGCTCTGACTTTTTTTAGTTGGTTTTCCTGGATCAAATATTTCCCCCCGCATCATTACAGCGACTATCTTTCTTGTGGTATTGTAATTTTTATATCAAACTAAATATTAAAATATTTAATGTACACATTATTTTACCTTGTTTTCCTTTTGTCGTTTGACAGATTCAAGCTTTCTACCAATGTCCTTACTGGCGGCTGCATAGGGAGACAGCTGCTCAATAATCTTGTTGATTTGTTTTATAGATGACGTTACAGACCTGAAAGACAAGATGTGATTATCAGTAATATTCAGTATGTGACAAACATGGCAAAGATAGGGGCATGATTTTCAGCGTGTTATTTAGCCTCCTGAGACTTTGCGTCCACATATGGGGACATTACATTTTGGCTTTGCTGTACCTTATACTTCACTCTGTTCAATAGTGTTTTAAACTTTGTTAAGTCATGTTAATGTTGTTGTGTTATGCTGTAAAATAAGCCCATTGTCCCCATCTGAGGACATTTTTTTTTTTTACAAAAGTATGTCATAACCATGTAACAAAATACAACTTCCTGTTTGCAGAGGAAGCTTTATTTATACACAAATCAGGTCCATCGAATCACAAATATCTAGGAGATGTGAAAAAAATGCATTGCAAACCAGAGCTCGGGTCTCGGGAAGTTAAAACGTTTCAAAATATACACATCTAAAACATAATCTTATCGAACACAACTCTCTGGAACATTTCAACAAAAACTTACCATGTTGTGAGGACTAATACATAGAAAATTTGCTGATATTATTTTTTGTATTGTACATTACCTGACATCATCCAGCACTGACTGGTACTCCTTCTCAGCCTCTGCTTTAGCAGCAGCCTGAGAAGCCTCCTGGATGGCCTGGTCCACTTGCTGCAGAACGCCTTGCTCGAGGACATCCTGGTCATACACAGCCACTCCAAGGCCTTGAAGTTCATCGGCTCCAGAACTTGCAGAAGCTAACTGGATGTGCTGCCGGTTGATTTGCACCAAGGCTCCTGACCTCTTGCCAGCTAAATGCATTGATGAGGTTATTACATTAATAGACAGTTTATAAAAATCACAACTTCTTTGACATGTGTACCATTATTCTCAGTTATCTCTCATGTGTTGCTCACCACTGTTGCAATCTCCAGGCCCGGTGTTAGTAGGATAGGCAGCAGCTGCCTCACAGCCCTGACTGTTTTCAGGGAAAGTGCAGATTGCTAAGCCCCTTGTAGCTCCATCCTCCTCCAACACTCCGGGTGTGAGAGCAGCACTAACCGTCCTGGAGATGGAGGAGGAGACCTGGGGCTCTGCACTTTCTACAGGCATAATGATGCAGCTGCCAAGAAAGAGACAAAGAAATGTCAATCAAAAGTTCAGTCTGAACAGACCATTGTCTAGATACTAACATTGAAAAATACCCATATTTCGATGCAAAAAGTAATCTTAACTGATGAGAAAACAAATTCCTAAATCAAACACGATTATCTGGGATTTACGTTAGGTTTTTATAAGCAAATTCCGACTAATTTTTAATCAATTCTAAATTAATAATGTAAGTGGTAAATTCGCGAGAATAAATTGTACTAAACAGCGATTGTAACACCAAAAGGCAACGGTACAGAAGGTTAAAATACTGAAAGAAACACTGAATTATGACACACCGAGGTCTTTTGTTTACGTGGCTGAGCTAACGGGCTAAGCTAACAGTGAGCCGAACACCATCGCACCACCGCACATCGGCTTCAATTAAACTACTAAACACGGTCCTACAGCTGAAAACAAACACATTGTCACTACGGTCAGGAAGATAAAATGTCATTTAAATTGAGCATGGACACCACAATGACAGAAATTACTCACAAAGGCAGTTATACAACATCACCAGCCTGTGTTATATCATTTTGACAGGCTTCCTCTTGGTTTCCGGTGCAACAACTTGCTGAACAGCGTCCCCTGCTGGTCGAAGACAGGTAAATAATTTGACCACTAGATGGCGCCACAAACCCAATTATTTAAATTGAAGACACCGGTAAACAGAACAAAGATAACCTAAACCACATTAACGTTGTATGTTTCCCATGTTTTAAGCATAATTAGTTTGGGAGTCTGCAAAATAGCCCTGCTCTAGATAGCAAAAATGTCTGTTCCTCTCTTAAAAAAAACATTAGTTCCATTTGATATAATAAATCTTGCATTTCATGCACACCACAGATGTAAACAATGGCCAAGTATCCGCAGATGCTCAGGGGAAGTTTATTTCCAATGCCTTGCAACAATAAATGCAAATCTTAATTAAAATATCTTCTACGTGCCTCAGCAAATAAAAGTAATCCTTCAAAATTGTATTATCCATGTAAACAAACATAGCTATATAGGGATATATACTGCTGTCACCCTTGGCTTAAAAGATTGAAATGTTGATGAAATGTGGGTCGCCTGCAGAGAAGTATTTCCAGAGATACTGAGAGGGATTTTAATTTAAGAAGTACTGAAATAAATTAAATAAATCATAGTGGCATAGTTTGATTAGTAGAAGATGTGGCATGCGCAGAACACATATTCTTTGTTGGTTTTTCCCTGAACAGAGATATTAAGAGCAACAGTAAAATAAACTATCAAGCTGTGATAAATTACCTATGATGGGGATTAGTAAACATTTTCATTCACGCAATGTTGTCATTGTGAGGTTGAATTGCAAAGAGGAATGTATGTAAGCTGTGACCATAAACCTCCATGCTTGATATATATAACCAGTCATTGACAGCTTTTACCTCTGATGAGAGTAAGATAATATTTATGCATAAGCTTTGTTTTCATCACATCATAGTCCAGGGAAATTTCAGCAGGTTAAACTGAGCTGACAGAAACCACACTAAGCTTACAGGATTTACCAGGAGGCAAAGGCTGTTGGTTTGAACTTTGGGCTTTCTTTTTGTTAGTAACTCACCAATTTGTATGCAAGGGAGTTTGTAGATTTATAGGGTGTAAAAGGGTAGGGTGCAAATCCCAGAGGGGTCCAGTGCTTTTCTGTTAACACCACTGCTCTGTGCTGCTTTGCATTGTGACAGTAGAATAACAAGCACAGCAAGATTTAAAGAGAGGGCTTTTGGTTTTTGTTGAGCAAAGCTTGGTGGGCTCATGTTTTAAAGATTTTCTGTCAAACTGTGCTTCCAACATGTTTGGATGCTTTTGTATATAGAGGAGTACTTCTAATGCAGCTGTGCAGGTGATACACTGTTTCCGTTATTTTCCTTCGGAGGTGGTGGAGTATAAAGAACTGCTTTTTCTGTTATCTCATGCATGCTGATTCTCCATGGTATGATAACATTGTTTTAGATTGAACGGCCTTCATCATCTATCTGGCACCAAACGAATGTACTGCAGGTGAGATCATAAAAAAATAAAAATTAAAAATTAAAAAATTTGAGATGCAAGGACGAAAGTGATGAGAAAAGAAGTATTGTAGTATTTTTTTTTTTTGCTTCAATTCTTTCAAGTTAAAACTTTACATCTCCCCATGACCATCTTTGATGACATCTCACAGTCGTGTAGGCCATAATGACTTATTAAGGTGAGGGACAGTTCTTGGAGTAGCTTTGTTTAGAAAGGCCTTTCTCCATGAGTTAAGTGCATTTCTTGCCCAACAGGTTTACACGTGAATTGAATCTCCTTTTTTGTTACCTGAACAGTCACATTCAAGCCTTTTCTGCTTGTAGGCGAGGACCAAAGTAATATCCAAGCACTACATTTGGCCATTTTCTACCTCAAACAGCCAAAGGCAAGTTTCTCCTTTTATTTTTACTTGAACAATTTCCTTTAAATCAGTTTTTAAAAAGTATATTCCTCAACTTAAGTTTAGAAATATTTAAAGAACACTGTGGTTGTACAGAGAACAAAAAACAGGAAACCCAAATAATTCAACAGTTGCTAAAATAAACGCAAAATAAATAGTAAACTCTTTCACACTCATGAATCCAGAATTATTCTGTTAAACATCCAATTTTTAGGCCAACCACTTCGAAAATATGTATTCACTCTAATTTCTTATATTTTTGTGTAATTTTAAAGGCATACTAACATTATATGCAGTCCACATTGTATAAATTAAACATAAAACTACTTTTCCTAAAATGAATGAATTATTATTATTATTATTATTATTATTATTATTATTATTATTATTATTAGTAGTAGTAGTAGTAGTAGTAGTAGTAGTAGTAGTAGTAGCAGCAGTAGTAGTTCTAGTGTATAATTTACTTTTCTTGGTTAAAAGTCTACATAACTCTGTGTACAAAAACATAGAGAACAGACAGTTGTAATAAAAAAGCATTACTTATATGAGATAATGTACATAATAATAATATATTTACAATCATAAAAACATAGTTTTCCAGCACAATGTTGCCAAACGTTTTATTTGTAAAATTGATTTATAACTTCCCACTTAAAATTTTAGTTAAGAACCTTTAAAGACAAAAACAAAAAGCTACCGCTCCACAGAAAGGTCCCCTTTATGATTACCCCCCCCCCCCCCCACACACACACACACACACAGCCTTTACTGTATGCTGGCAGGCTTGAGAGTCTTATGCAAAAAGTGACTTGTCTTCAGTCTTCAGTGGGTGTTTTGGATCTTAAGTAGAAAAGACAGGATGTGATTTGAAGCTTTAAAACAGTTCATAAAAATCAGCACAGGTGAAGAGTTGCCATGACTCCCATAATGTACATTTAAGCCACATTGTACCTAACCCCTGTGTGGTCATGTTGTAAGGGCTAATGTCTCCCATGTGTTCTGTCCCAGTTCATCCTTGTCTGATTGCGCTCCTGACAGTAATTACGAGGTGGACTTAGTTCTCATCCGGGTGTGTCAGACCACTGCAGTGCTGCTGTGGATCCCCACTTCATCTGCTTGTGATTTTGTTTTACAGCAGGTGTGTGCAACAACCAGTCGACAACTTTACACCACAGTGCTCCTCCTGTAAATATCTAAAAATTGGTTTAGGGAGTGGGAACTACTGCTGCAGGCTGTACTCCTTGTAAAACATTTGGAAGTGAAGTCACTAACTGTGTATCTTCCATGTTAACCTGAGTCAATGGATTACAAAAAGTTCACACAGAATTGTGTTTTTTTAGTAGCTTGAACAAACCACAGCAAGTATCAGAAAGAGGCGTGTGTGGTGCAGGGAGATGTTACACAAAACCACCAAAACCCTACAGTGACAGCTCACTCTATGTGCGTACTCTGAAAATATGCAGTCACTGGTTTGATGGGTTCTGAAGGGTTTTAACAAGTAACAATTGTGGACCACAACAATGTAGCCAGCTCTGTTTTGATGATGTACAGTGGCAGCTGTGGTTTAAGTGGTTTACACAATCTTGACTCAACCCAAAACAAAAGTGCAACAGAGAACTTTCCAAGAACACCATGGGGGACTAGATGGTAAACTGATGAACCAGTCGCTAAGTAAGCAGCACCAGTTAGATCTCTGAAGGACCAGCTAGCACCAGTGATCCTTGTGATGTTCTATTGAATGCATGGAACTAAACAGCACCCTTCGATGGTGTATTTAATAATTTAATTGTGTATTTAATGATTTAATGATGTATTTAGTAATTAAATGATACATTTCATTATTATGTATTTCTTTATTTCATTTTGTCACATATCCGTCCTCCACAGAGTTGGAGAGGTTTGGCCAGTTTAATGGTCATTTTTGAAGGGAAGCCTGTTTCTAAGCGTCCAAGGTTTTACTACTTTTTTAATCCCCAAATCACTCGATTGTAATCTCAATTCAGAAACTTTGCATCACAGATTTACAGTTGAAAAGCTGATGATAGATTTTCTGTCAGGCCCTGAAGCATGCACGGAGGTCGATGAATGGAAATCCAGTGAGTGTCAATCAACAGAAAAACATCCAACTGATGAAGTTTTGGTTAATCTCCAAATAGTTTAAACTGAGCTAAAGCTGTTTTTAAAGCACCAATACCCCACAGGGAGAGAAAAAATGAGGCTTTGTCAATGGTCTTACCTAACGAGTTACAGTAAATCCTGCGCTTAGTGATACAAATACCTCTCCAATACTTCCCTGATCCTGTGAGTCAAAGAATATGAGTGTGTGTTTGTTCATCCCACTCATCTATTGAGCCTTCATCATAATAAACTGTCTGTTTTCACATAATAATCTGTGGTAGTGCCCTGCTAAAGCACAAACCATATCTTCTTCTTCTTCTTTTGGCTTTTCTTGCTTCAGGAATTGCAACAACGTGTCATCCTCCTCCATCTCACTCTGTCCTCTGCATCCCCTGTCCTCACTCCATTTACCTCC